GTTGCGAAGAACTTGCAGACATGAATCCTGAAGTATGGTAAGCATGATGATGATGATGACGATGATGATGATGAGGATGATGATGATGATGATGATGATGAGGATGATAATGATGATGATGATGATGATGATGAGACAAGGAGAATGGATAAGAGCAGGAGCAGGAGCAGGAGCAGGAGCAGGGGCAGGGGCAGGGGCAGGAGCAGGGGCAGGAGCAAGAGCAGGGGCAGGGGCAGGGGCAGGGGCAGGGGCAGGGGCAGGGGCAGGGGCAGGGGCAGGTCTCACCGCCTGCCCATTCATCCCAACAGGATGGATGTTTCGCTGCGGGGTTGTCAGACTTGGAGCACAAGGAGGATCGGGACGCACGTGCGCGTACGCGGCGATGTCGAGGCCGACGCTCATCGGGTTCGTTTGCTCCCTAGGACCCAGTCAAGAAGGAAAGAAGCCAGGGAAGTGGGAGCGAAAGAAGCGAAAGTGATGGAGGAGGAGGAGCAGGAAGAGCAGGAGGAGGAGGAGGAGCAACAGCAGCAGCAAGCTAGCAGTGGCTTACCTCCACACGCTAGTGGGATTAAAGTCGCCGGTCTGTTGAGAGCAGAAGGTCAAGGAGGAAACAGTAGGAACTTGACCTACCCCGAAGTAGGGATGCTCCATCGCCTGCAATGCTGTGATCCGCCTGAGAGCTGGTCAGCGGGGAGGGCAGAAGCCTTGTACGCTCACTTGGCAGGGTCGAAGTTGAGAAGCTTCTTCAGGAGGTCGAGAGCATGGGTGTTCTGAAAAGAGGATGTCAGAGTCGAGAAGACAGGATGGAGCAAGGAGGAAAGACGGAGAGTAAGAAGAGAGTGGGGGAGTAGGGAAGGGGACGAGGAAAGCGGGAAGAAGGCGGGAGAAAGGAGGTTAAAGTCAAGGAGGATAAAGTGAAGGAGGAGGTGCTCGGCAGGAATTTACATGCTTCAACACGGGGATCTTGTTCTCTAGCCCCTGGTAAATCATGCCGTTCTTGTCCGGCTGTACAGGATTATCAGCTGCTCGTAGCTCCTGCCCCTTGTTGTTCTTCTTTCTTGATCATCCTCCATCCCTTCATCCTCCAGCACAGTCTCCCAATCTCCGCTCTTCCGCTTCCTTACCGCGAGCTGGACGTTCGAAATCTTCGGCCAGTCAGGAAGTTCAGTGATCTGATGCCACTCCGTCGCTGAGGGCTTGCCCATCACCTGATACTCATCATCAAACGTAATATTCATCACTATCTCCGTCATCTCCATCATCATCTCCATTATCACTTCTCCTGCATTCTTCGCTTTCTTGTTCTTGTTTATCACACCACCACCAGCAATATGCTTTAACTGCTTCCCGACGTACTTACTCTAAAAATTTTCTCGAGCTGATCTCGTTGGAAAGTTTTGTCTTCCTGCCCCTGGCGAGGTAGACGTGAGGAGGACGAAGGAGCGGCAGGGCTGACAGACCTGAAAGAGTGGACCAGGAGGGTTCGATAGCAACTCGCCAAAAATGCAGCCGACTGCCCACCTGTAGCACAAACACTTCAGCTACTGACCGGCTAACCGTCATCATCATCATCATCATCATCATCGTCATCATCATCATCATCATCATCATCAGTATCATCATCATCATCATCATCATCATCATCATCATCATCATCATCATCATCATCATCATCATCATCATCATCATCTTCATCTCACAGGTCGATAGCCTTCGAGTAATGCTTAGCCCCAAGCAGAAGTTCTGGCGCACGGTACCTAAAGCAAAGATGAGCAGCAGCAGCAGCAGCAGCAGCAGCAGCAGCAGCAGCAGCAGCAGGAAGGGGGGGGGGGGGGGGGGGGGGGGGGGGGGGGCATCTGCCATGCGAGCGAGAGGGGGCTGGAAGGAAGGATTAGATCTTCATTCTAGCGACAAACACCGACCTACGAAGGTTTCGTGGATGCAAGTCCTTCATCTTATTGAAATACTTCTAATGCAGAACAACCCAATTGTCCCGCGAACGATACCCTTGCAGAATAATGGGGATCCCTCGTTTCTGCCACTCCCACACC